GCCGGGACCCCGCGTACACCCCGGCCCTGCCCGCCGCTCCTCGGGCCCGAGGCCTCATGCCCCGCCCAGGGGTCACCCCTCGACTCCCCATTCCCGCCGGAGCCCCCCGGCCCCAGTCTGCACGCCCCGGCTGGACCGTACCCCCCGGCAAACAGATGCACCAGCGTGTCCCTCTGGCTCATTCTCTCTCCCGCATGTCCTCCGGGCGCTGAGGCGGGACGCGGATCCGGACGCCCGCCGCGGCCAGCGGCTTAGGTCCCCGACTGGTAGACGTCCCACGCCCCAGAGACGGCAAGGGGAGTCGGCGGAGACGCCGCTGCGGAAAGCAATCCGCACAGCCCTCCCCGCGCCGCCCCAGCCACGCCGCCTCCGGCCCTAACTCCGCGCCCTCAACCCGAGCCAGAGAGCCAGGCGGCGGCGGAGGCGTAGGCGGGCGGAGGCGGGCAGGGGCGGGAAGACGCGGGTGGCTCCCGATATAAACAGACGCTCCTATTGGTCCGAGCCGCGTGACGTCACGCGGCCTGCATGCCTCTTTCACGTGATCGCGAGGGGGGTTTTCAATGAAAGGCGCCGGGAGGCGGGGCCAGAGCGCGATCCGCGAGGGCGGTCTGCAGCTCCGGAGCCCAGTCCGCCGACCAGGAGGGCTGCACAGTCTGTCGCCTGGACCTGCTTGGGCTCGGCGGTCGGGGCCGCGCGCTCCCGACCTGGGGACCCCGGAAAAGCCGCCTGGGTTCCAGGTACCCAAACGGATTTACTTTGTGGAAATTGGATTTATGACCCAGCAATTCCACTTCCTGATGTCGACCTCAGAGTGACACCCGCCCGAGGCGTAAAGAGGCTTGTGCTGTGATACTCGCGTAGAGTATGACGGTGCTGTCCTAGCGGAAAATTGGGATCTGCAGGGGAATGGAGAAATAAATCATGGCGCATTCTCATTATGGAATACTGTGCAATCGTGACGAGGGTGAAGTAGAGCCATTTGGGAAAAATCTCCAAGGCGTAGAAAATAAAAAAGGCAGATAGAATTAAATCACTAAGATTTCAAACTGGCATTTACTCATTCTATGGATCAGCAAATGCTTCTTGTAGTGGATTGAATTATGTCCCCTCAAAACTCCCTGAAGCTTGAATTGTGTCCCCCAAGTTTTATGTATTAGAAACTTGGCCCCCACTGTGACTGTTCAGAGGTTGGGAAAGCAAATGCTTCTTGTAGTGGATTGAATTATGTCCCCTCAAAACTCCCTGAAGCTTGAATTGTGTCCCCCAAGTTTTATGTATTAGAAACTTGGCCCCCACTGTGACTGTTCAGAGGTTGGGAAATCCTATTAATGGTAATTGAAAAGTGGAGCCTTGAAGAGGTGATTGGATTGTAGGATCGTGCAGTAGTAAGTGGATTAATAGTAGAGGTCAGGGGCGCGGTTCTGAGGGCTCTAAATAAAACGGAGAGTCTGCCTTTTTCTCTCTTTGCTCTCTCTGCTTCCACCATCTTGCAATTTGAGACCCCTGGGTCACTGTCACCACCAGCAGATGGGCTTTGGACTTTCCAGCCTCAGAAACTGTAAGCAATAAATTTTGTTTTCTTTATAAATCACCCAGTTGCAGGTATTTTGTTATAAGCAACAAACACGGGATATTACACATGTATACGTAGGAAGGTCAAAGACAGAGGGAACGACTGGCTGGTTGGCTAAGTTGGTTAGAGCATAGTATCATAACACCATAGGCCCATGTGTTGGGATACCCACACCGGCCAGCAGCCCTCCCCACAAAGAAACTAAAGAAGGGAAAGGAAACGTTTTATTTTTCCAGAACATGGAGATTAAATATTTTTAATTTTTAAAATAATTATTAAAAATTCTGTTAATTAATTTTTGTTAATTATTTCTAAGGTGCAGAAGAGTACAGAAAATAATATAACGGATACCCATATGCTCATCACCCAGACTGAACCAATTTTAATATTTCTACCTCTTTGCTCACATAACTTGCCTTCCACCTGCAAAGCCCTACCCACCCTTTCCTACCCACGTGGACTTATTCAGGGCCCTCCTTCCTTTTCTTCCAGGACGACTTCCTTCATGAAGTCTCCCTGAGTGCCTCAGTTTCTAGGTCCTATACCTGCTCCTAAATTCCTACAAAATGTACAGACTGCATCCCACTGGCAAGTGTTAATCCATTCCACTGTAAATGTTCATTTGTAAGATGGGCGTAAGAGTACCTATTTCACTAGGTAGTTGTGAGGATTAAATGTGTTAAAATATGTAAAGCATCTACAGCAGTGACGGATGAGTGCTAGCTATAATTTTTAGTAGTAGTATTTTACTGCCTTATTATTAACAAAAATGGCAGCTGATATTTCTTGACTACTTACTAATTAATGTGACAGGCTCTGAGCTAAGAACTTTATAACATTCTCTCATTAAATTCTCAAGACTACCCTGTGGGGTAAGTGATAGAATCCTCCTAGTTTTACATGAGAAAACTGAAATTTAGAAAAATTAAGTGACTTGCCCAGGATTACCCGTTTATCTGGGAGGAGGAGCTTGGATTTTGAATTCAGCAGATTTTGACTTTAGAACTTCAGTTGGTAAAGTAACAGCTGCCCATTAAAGGGAAAAAATTTTACAAAAACAGAAGAGTAGAAATAAAAGTTGGCACCCCTGGCCATACTTTCCAAAAAAATGTTTCATTAGCATTTGGGGGTTATTGTTTTTAATGGTAGCTTTATTGAGATACAATTTACATACCATAAAGTTCACCTACTTAAAGTGGTCATTTAGTGGGTTTTAGTATATTTTCATGGTTGTGCAACCACTACCTAATTCCAGAATCTTTTTCTCACCCAAAAAGCAGCCTCATGCTCATTAGCACTTACTTCCATTCTCCTCTCCTTTTATCCCCTGGCAACCATTAATCTACTTTCTGTCTCTGGTTTTGCCTATTCTGGACATTTCGTGCAAATGAATCATACAATATGTGGCCTTTTGTGTTTGTTTTCTTTCACTAAACATAATGTTTTCAAGGTTCATTTATATTGTAGTATGTATCAATACTTCATTCCCTTTTATGACTAAATAAGATCCCATTGTATGGCTAGATCTGTTTATCTGTTCTCACTTGATGGCCATTTGGGTCGTTTCCACTTTTTAGCTATCATGAATAATGCTGTAATGAACATTCATGTGTACAAGTTTTATCATGGGCATATGTTTTCAATTCTCTTAAATACTGTGGATTAGGAGTGGAGTTGCGGGGTCATATAGTAACTCTATGTTTAACCTTTCGGAGAACTGCCAAACTTTTCCAAAGTGGCTGCACCACTTTTAGGTATATTTCTTTTAAGATAATAGTTGCAGTTCCACGTTTTTGACATTGCGAATGCCATAGTAATTCCATTTAATGAAGTTTCTGAAACTACTAAGGAGGAAGCCAGAGTTCTTATGTGCAATAACAGTTATTCCCATGAGCTATGACAATTGCTAATGTGGCCATTTCCTTTTGAACCCCATTCAGCTGCCACCGTGGAAGCAGACTCTGCCTCCTGCGCATTCTGGCTGGTACGCAGGAGGCCACCCATTCGGTTGTCGTTGCTGAAGTCGTCATTCTTGCGGGGATTCCAGGGCTGAGTTAGCTGTCATGCTTGCTGAGGTTCCACAGCACCGTCATCTGCCCGCTCTTTATAGCCTTCTGCCTCGTTCCTGTTGACAACAGTACGTCTTCAAGCGATTCCTTCAAGACCGGCACAAAGGCGAGGTTGCTTAAGCCCTTGACCTTGCACAAGCTGCCAGGAGAACGACTCCAGGGCACGGTGGGTACTAAGACCGGCTTCGGTATCAGACACACACCTTCACCTCCCCCCACCCCTCTGTTCCTGCCGAGGGTTCTGCTGGGAGTTGTAGTTTTTTACTGAATATGGAAAGAACTGATTTTCCCATCTGGATGGTTGCAACCCGCTGCGTGTCTCAAAAAAAGCAAGCAAACGCCTTATGAAATAAACGGGACTCGATTTCCCAATTGGTTCAGGCTTCAAATTTTAATTGCTAATGGGCTGAAGAAAAGTTCTTAATAGCTATTTGTGGGGAGAGGAGAAGTAGAGCATAATGGACCACTAATGTCATCCCTCTTTCCCCCTTAGCCTGTATTGGTCTTGTAGGTTTAGAAAATTCCTGTGGGGTTCAAGACTTGGATTGGCAACATTAGTTCTAAATGTTTGGGGTTTTTTTTTTTTTTTCTTTTTTTAACCTCTGTGTCTTCTTAGCTATTTTAGTGGGAGGTTGGCAGAGATTGTTTTATATTCTCTTAGTCAGATGCTGTTTTATTTATTTTTTCTTAATTTTACTTAAAAGTAATAAATTCAGACAATACAGAAGTGCACAAGGTAGAACTTAAAATTCTTCTGTCAGCCTTCCTTTCTAAATCCCATTTCTTGGGTGAATGTCCTTCTGGGTGTTCTGTGCCATGATAATCTCTGAGAGCTCCAGATTTATACAGCGTTTACTATGATAGCCAAAATACCTGCTCTGACCAGGTCAGCCGAATTATAGTGCTTTGGAAGATATGGGATAAATCAGTAATCACATCCACCTGTGTGGAAAATGTTTTCATAAGACCATTTTTTACTTAGGAGCAGATCTAACGGCACAAGAAAGCCAAAAAGTTACCTAGAATGCTTCTTGTAACCTTTATGTAACCAAGTAACAATCCCAACTATACTTAATATACAACCAATAGAAAACTCGATGAAGTAAACAGGTGGGGCTGTCTTTTTCTCACTCTTCTTTAACCATTCCCCATTCTTGTGATGATAAAATGCTTAGCTCTGCTGGCCCTCTACTGAATGCATTTCTCTGGGTGACCTGACCATGCATCTCTCTGGTTGCAATCGTCATATTGGTTCAATAAATCATTGCTTTTTTTTTTTTAGGTCATCAGCTACATGGCAGGCATTGTTGCAAGTGCTTCGAAAGTTTTTAAATTACTCCACTTTACAACCTGATGAGGAACCATTTTGCAGATGAGGAAACTGAGATATGGAGAGCTTAGGGGATTTGTCAAGGAGGTTTCAATGAGCAAGTAGCTGAGCTGGGATAAAAAACCTAGGTAGTCTGGCTGCAGAGCCTGTGCTTTTATCCTCTATTCTATACTATCTCAATATTTGTTTTGGTTGATTGAGAATATAAACTGTAGTTTCTACAAAAAACAAAAAAACCCAAAAAACTTTTCAAGGACCATCAGAAGATGTGGTGCCCAAGAAGACAAAATGTACACTTACATTTGAGCCCCAGGTGGAAGGTCACTAGGGCATCTGGTCCCTAATGCAGGTTTAATCTGCCACTGAGCTGCCACTTCCCTTGTCCTTATGTGTGGCATATTATATTCAATGATGTTTACTGTTTCTTAGATACACAGGTAATAAGCATTCAGAGGTGGCACTGGAGATAGATAAGGAGCTTTACGTGTAAAAATGAATTTTCCCCACGGCAAAACATTTTCCTTGCAGGAAACACTATCTCTCAGGGCCCAATTCAGAAGAGTGCCCCAGGAGCCTTGGAAAAGACAAAACAACCCAGCATTTCTTACCTTCCAGGAGAGGAGTACTAGAAGGGTGGGGCGGCCTTGCAAAGAACGGAGCAACACACTTTTATTTCGCCTGAACATGCCTGGGCTTTCAACACTGTGTGTGGTAATACAGAACAGTAGCCTGCTTCCTGTTTCAGAACCCAACTAAGGGCCTCTCCAAGGAGCCCTACTTTGTTTTTGTTTTTTATTTATTTTTTTTTCAATTTTAAACAACAGAAATTTATTTCTTATGATTCTGAAGGCTGGAAAGTCCTAGATCCAGTAGATTTGATATCTGGGGAAAGAGCCCTCTTTCAGTCTGCAGAATGTAGACTTCTCCTTGTGTCCTCACATCACAGAAAGAGAGCAAGAGAGCTCCCTTGGTTCTCTTTTTAGAAAAACACAAATCCTCACCAATATTTGTTGTCTTTTGTTTTTTTATTATATCCATTCCAACAGGTATGAGGTGATATCTTATTATGGTTTGAATTTGCTTATCTCTAATGATTGGTGATGTTGAGCATTTTTTCATGTATCTGTTAGACATTCATATGCATTCATTTGAAAAGTATCTGTTTAGGGAAGAAGCCCTACTTTGAATCTCAGCTTACCTGTTAACATTTGGATTTCGCTTTTAACATTAATTCTTTGTTTTTATTGAAATATAGTACAGTCAGACAAAACACCCAATTCAAAAATGTGTAAAGTACTGGAATAGACTTCTATTCAAAGAAGAAATAAGCCCATGAAAAGTTGCTTAACATCACTAATCATTAGGGAAACGCAAGTCAAAACCACAGTAAGATACTACTTCAGACCTGATAGGATGGCATGAGCAAACAAACAAACACACCATAAAAGAGAAAATACCAAGTGTTGGCCAGGATGTAGAGAAATTGGAACTCTTATGCATTGCTGGTGAGAATGTGAAATGTTGCAGCTGCTGTGGAAAAGTGTATTGTGGTTCCTCAAAAACTTAAACGTGCAGAGGGCTGGTCGGTTGGCTCAACTTGTTAGAATGCCACCTTGTAACACCAGGGTCAAGGGTTTGGATTCCCATACCGGTCAGTCGGTCGCTCAAACAAACAAAAAAATCTACCAGCAATTTCACTTCTGGGTACATACCTAAAAGAATTGAAAGTAGAAACTCAAATTACTGGCATACCAATGTTCAAGCAGCATTATTTACGATAGCCAAATGGGAGAAACGACCCATTAACATGTCCATCATCAGACGAATGGATAAACAAAAATGTGGCATGTGTGAGCACATGCAATGGAATATCATCCAGCCTTAAAAAGGAAGGAAATGCTGACACACACTACGCCATGGATGAAACTTGAAAACATTATGCTAAGTGAAATAAGCCAGACACAAAAGGATAAATACTGTATGACTCCACTTATATGAGGTACCTAGAGTAGTCAAACTTACAGAGAAAGTAGAGCACTGGTTACCATGGGCTGGGGGAGGGGGAAATGGGGAGCAAGTGTTTGATAGGCACAGAGTTTCAGTTGGGGAAGATGAAAAAGTTCTGGATCGTGGTGATGGTTACACAACAATGTGGATGTACGTTATTGTATACTCCTCACTGAATTATATACTCCTCAAAAATGATTAAAATGGTAAATTTCATGTTATGTATATTTTACCACAATAAATAAAAAATACAGGCAATGCATACAGTCATAAAAAAGTAAGTATGTAGTACCAGAGAAGTTATAAGGAAAAAAATCAGACCCTCTACTCCATTTCTCCATGTTTCCTCATTTTTGCTCCTACAGGGTACTTCAAAAAGTTCATGCAAAAATAGAACTAAAAGATAATATGAATCTTTCCATGAATTTTTTGAAGACCTCCTGTATTTCTCTTTTTTTTTTTTTTTTTTTTTTTTTTTTTTTTCCGTGTCTGGCAACGGATCGCAACCCTCAGTGTTGCCCCCGTACCGGACCGGGGACCGGCAACGGGATTGCAAACCTCGGCGTTGCTCCCGCGCCTCGCTCAGCCAGTGAGTGGGAACCGGTCTGTATATGGGATCCGAACCCTCGGGTGGGAGCGCCGCCGCGCTTCCCAAGCGGCGCACTATCCAGTGCGCCACTGGGCCGGCCTGTATTTCTCAATAATAGCAATTTATGCTGTTTTTCTTTTTCTCCTCTGCTGTAAGGGAATATGCTGTTTTTCTTGATCTATGAGTTTCAGACATTGTCTATACACTTCTGGTTATAATAGATGCAGATGTAGCTCTCTTATTACACCCTCCTACTCCCCATTTTATCTGCTCCAGCTTCCCAGAAACCTTAGGGATCTTTCCTTTATCCTGGTTTTAGAAAATCTCATGACAAAGTGCCGTGATGTTGGTGGGGTCTCTTCATTTACTGTGCTGGGTACCCAGTGGGCCTTTTCAGTCTGGAAATAAAAAATCAGAGATTTGCCCTTGGACTGTTTTTAATAGTTTCACATGTCTCAGCTTGAGTCTCTCAGCTCCTAAAGCCAGAAGTGAAATTGCTGGTAGATTTTTTCCTTTCCGTATAGCACCTGGCATGATATTAGCACTGGGTCAGCACCCAGAGTCAAGGGCCCTTAGTTGAAAGGATAGACTTCTGGTTTGGCAGCAATGCCTTGAGAAGCAGCATCTGACAAACATTTGGTGAGGAATAGGGTGAAAACAGCTTCACTTTGCAAGTGGCCAGTTCCCTTCAGCCTGGGGTTAGGAGAACTGGTTCAGCAGCTTTTCACCTTCTCCACCCTCCACTCCAGGCCATCCGCTCTTATTCTGCTTAATAGCTGATTACCTGCCAGCCATCAAAAAAGAAAAAGGTGGGTAAATAGGTTGGAAATGGAAAACAGGGCTGAAGAATTTCATTGTATTTGGAATGAGGGTCAAAGATCAGAGCTGGAAGGGAAAGCCCCATAACCCATGGTCAGAATTACCTTGGAAAAGCCTTTAAATCTCCCAGAAGTATGGGATACTAAGTATTTTTTGTACTAATATTTTTCTATACTCCTTAATTAATCCTTTAATGTCTTCTTATAGGATGTCAGTGAAACAATCACCATTGGGTTTCTTGGCCACTAGCTAATTTGTTTTTCATCCTTTCATTTATTATGAAATACTTAAAATTGTTTTCACAGTTTTTTCACAATTTTGGCTAAGACTTTCATTTCCAAACAAGATAGAGTAACAAAAATCAGAAATAACCAGAAAAGATTATAAACCTGTGGTTTTTAAGATATTGGACATCAGACAATGAAAGACAGTGATTCCTGAGGGATGGAAACAATGTAAGCCATACAATTGCCCCAAGGTACTGCCTGGAGAGAGTTTCCAGGAAGATATAGAAACCGGGCAGATCATGGGTTGAGGACACACAGCTGAGAGTCCAGGGAGACCAAGGCAGGTAGGGTTTGTGGAGCAGAGTACCAAGAACCCCAGATATCTGTAGTTTTATCTTAAGTTTT